ATATATATATACATGCATTTGTATATACATATACATATACATATATATTTGTATATACATATACATGTATACATATATAGATATGAATATACGTATTATATATAAATGTATCAATATGTATATATTTATGAATAATACACACATAACTACAACAGGAAAGAAATCTGATTGAAGAAATGTCAAAATGTTATGATTATTCAAATTACAAAGTGTAAGAACTAAGAATGACTTTTATTTCAAATAGGTTTCTCAAAAAAAAATAAAATAAAAAACATGAAAGAGTAATAGTTTTTATTTTAAACAAGTAAAACTAGCTGTGATGTGTAGATAATTATACATAGAATAAAAGTCAGTTATAGAACTTTCGAAAGGCACAAACTGATTTTTGTTTGAAGTGAAAAAATATTCACTTTTTTTTTTAATTCTCTGGTCTCGAAGTTCACTGGAGCGCGCGCGCACATTGTGTGTGTCAGCGTGCGTGTGTGTGTGTGTATATATATACATAATGTATATAGTTCCGGATGCTTGTTCTTTAGTGTTGAGGCTGTTATAGTATAGTTATTACCGTGTCTGTCCTTGATGTCTTCTTTGATGTCCCAGAACCATCCTTTTCAGACTATAAATTGTCTATCTTGATACCTTCATGTCTGCCGATACTCGCTGTTCTAATAACATTAAACAACGTATTTTCTCGTGAAATGTCAGTTTGTTTCGACCCATTCTGTTAGGCTGAACTAAGATACAAGTTACCGAACTTGGCAAGATATTGAGGAAATTCCGAATAGAATATACAGTACAATATGTTCAATCATTCATCTGTCGTGTACAATCGCTCAGTGGCGTAAAACAAATTTCTGGCGAAAAGCCAGTACCACAGGTTGGCCATATACGCAACTCATAACTCCCGACTGCGCCGGATAAACATTTTTCTTTTGCCTTAATTTTTAATGATTTTTATTGCAGCCACTGACATACACATATATGTGTGTGTGTGTTTAAATAGATACACACACACACACACACACACACATATATATATATATATATATATATATATATATATATATATATATATACATATATATACATGTGTGTGCGTATGTACGTTGACAATTACAGAGTGACGATCGAGCCTCACCTGTCGCACGTGATTGTCTCTACTGAGCGTGGCTACAGAGCCTGTGTGCCTGTAGCCAATTACGCTGTTGACTGAAAACTTTCCTTGGTTTTGACCCATGATTAGTTGGGAGTTAGTTCTCGGTTGTTTCTTCAGTTCCTTTCCTTGGCGGTGGGAAAGTCCTCTTCCGCCGTTCCTGCATTTGCATATTAAAGGACTGGTATCTGGTGTAGCCAGGTTACATTGCCAAATTTCAGTAGAAGGGCAATGCCCCCCATTTAGTTTAGCCAATCATCGGAGATGGTTTCCCAAGGTATGGCTGTCACCATATGCTAGAGTCTTCTAGGAGCCATCAGTTGGGAATTGGGGATTCCTTGATGACCTTGTACAGAAGACCCTTCCATTGGGAGTGGTTGTCATCTGTACAAAGGTTCTACACCTTGAGATACCCCGATCGGGGCCCTACAATCCCTTGTTTCTTTTTTCAGGCTCTGTGGATACATATCTATTTTCTGATTTATTAGTAAATAATTCCTTGTTTACTTGAATTAAACAGTTAGCTTTAGTGTTTTGACATTGGTGTTGCATTTACTTTGATCATTTAAACAGTTAATTTCTTTTTATTATAAGCCTGAGCACAGTTCAAAGTTTAAGATCATTAATTTATCTCATTTGTTACCTTTACTCATTGTTTTTACTGAGAGTATTTATTTATTACGTTTCGTTCTTTCATTAATTTTCGGTTCTCTGTCTCTAATTTCTTTTATTTACCTTTACAGGTATGTACGTTCTCAAGAGAATCACATTCGAAATTTCAGAGACCGATGTGCATAATGTTACCTATAAATAAACTAAACTAAGATATTATTATACTCTATATTCCTGTTATCTCCAATCCCCTCAAACAGAAACCCGATTGTTACGAACTAGGGTCGCCAGGTCAATCTTAACCCCGCACATTTTTTATTAACTAGTAAAAGAACTGCTTATAGCATTCGTGGTAAAAATGCATTCCCCTAAAAGTAAGAGATAACCTATATAAAATTATTTTTAAACTGAAAGATAAAACCCTGAAATAAAAGCAGGTGACGAAAAAGTTCAAGTAAAAATAGAAACTTGAATAACCGAAATATATAACAAAATGACTGGTTGATTGCGTCTAGAGAATTTGTAAATGAATAAAGAAGTACTCCATAAGTCAGTCATTTTCTTTGAAGTGTACCCCGAGCTCTAAACTTGAGTTTCGCCGCGAAGGTCGCTAGTCGCCCGACATTGGATCAATAGACGAGATAATGGCCATAATCGGGGGAAGCTGCGTCTGGTAGCCACGATATATCCAAACACATACTCATACATATGTATGTATGTAAGTATGTGTGTATGTATGA